CAAGGAAATAACACTAGCACGTGACATCAAGGTTGTGTGTGTGTGGGTGTGTGTGTGTGTGTGTGTGTGTGTGTGTGTGTGTGTGTGTGTGTGTGTGTGTAAAAGAAGTGTTCGTCAGCAGATTTGCTTGACTGACTGAGTTATCTGGGCGTGACTGGATGAAGTTTTGCGTGTACGTACATGAATCTGTCCAAAGAATGTGTGTGTGTACGTACATAGACGAGTGTTCCTCCAGTGTGTGATGTTCACAATAGCATGACTGATGTTGGAATGTGGGTCCTTTGGTGTGTAGTCATGAGAAAGTTTGAAGGTGTGTGTGCTATAGGCATATTCCTTAGGAGCCGCTGTCCTTTTTCCATCGCCTTGCCTGCTTGTAGTGTTGGGAGCTGCTCGGTACAAGTTCCTTTCCTTTTGGGTGCACCTTGGGAGAAAAGTGGGAGAAGCCCCGCATTTCCAGCATGGTCTTTGACTCTGCTAGAGTGGGCGTGCTTTGGGTCACTATCCAACTCTTGATTGGCCGTCTTACCAAATCTCAGTTCACTTAATTTAACTGCTGGAATTTTATTTTTAAAATGGGGCAAACTAGATGGGGAGGAAGGGGCTATATGAAAGGAATTGGAAATAATCAACTCCGGAGACTCCAGTATTTGTCTGAATGTGCAGCGGGGAGGGAGAGAGTAGGATGTGTGAGAGGTAGATACAGAGGCTACATCCTTTTTTTAAAATTTCCAATCAGTGTTTTATGTTGAAATGATAAGGTTGAAAAAGCAAGGCTGAGGTGGTTTGTGGAGATGGTGGAAATACTGGTCGGAGGAGGAAAATAAGACCTCACAGGAGGTTCATGGATGTAGTGAAGTAGGACACATGGTTGGAAGGGGTAGAGTGAGATGGAGGCAGAACTGGGTCAGAGGCTTTTCAAACAGTCTTTTTAGAGGTCCTACTAGACCAGAGTAGAGCAGACCTGAGGCGTAAATATAACAAGCATGCTTTTAAATGAAAACATATCAGTAACGACACTGTGGTAATGAGTGAGGTAGGATGGAAAGCTCAAGTTCATTTTCTCATAACACTTGTGCATGGTTTGTTAGTCAGCCGCACACACACACATACACGTGTCATCATTACATACCGTCACAGGCGAAAAACATTCTGTTCCGATACCATGAAAACATGTCACGGGAGAGCGCACAGGTGCAGGACAGGGTGAAACTAAAGATCAGCATCAGTGAAAATCAGAGTTATTTATTTTTGTATCATCACTCCCTTGCACCTTTTTTCATTGTTGTTCTGTTTTTCTCTTCCATTTCTGCCTTTCATTTTCACATTAATACAGCTATTCATTTTTTTTGTTTTGTTTTTTTCCCATTTTAAACTGAAATGCGTCTGCGTTAGTTGAGAAGAATTCAGAAAGTCGCAGGGATTATCTGCACCTTCTCTCTGTGTGTTTCTGGTAATCAGGTGATCTGATTATCAGTGACTCACTCTTCAGTTACTGTTTTGTTTCTGCACGTGCTCTCTAAATGAACTCTCATTTCACTTCCTATTCCAGAGATGTGTTCGCGGTATGACTTTGCAGAAATACAGATGTAAATTTAGGGTATGTAACTACCATTTGAGTCAGTGTTTATGCGAGTTTTCAGAAAACGAGACGGGACCTCTCATTATCACCTTCCTGTGAGACACTGGTGTGTTTGCCAGTAACCCCAGCAGCCAGTACCTGCACTTAGTGGATGAAACTGAAGACTTGTTTTCTCTTCGGCCATTATAATACGAGGTTTCACCGCTTCAGGCTGTTGAACTTATAAGGAGGTTTCAGCGCTACTGCTGCTGCTCCACTTCCCTGTTTTTCAGTGGGAAACCTCTAAACTGTGTAGTGTACTTTATTTAAAGTAACACACACACAGTCTAACATTTTCATGTTACATTCACTTAGCTTCTCACTAATATCAATGAGACAATTAACATCATCATGCAATGTGCCCGGTTCTATGGCTGTAGTGTCATGTGCATGTTTAGTGTGTTAAATATATGTATAGATCGTGTATATGTGTGTCCTTGCCATAGCACGCCAGTGTGTTTGGCCACATTTATGTAAGTGGTATGTCTGACCCAGAAAGGATTTGCCGGAGGCTCGAGGGAGGACTAATGCAGTGCGACTGATGCACATGCACACACTCAGACATGCACGCAACAGTGTTTTTGACCCGCGTGTGTTGGGACAGAGAGGGGTTAAGGCGAGGTTGTATGGGCGTGAAAAGATTATGTGTTTCCCCTATTTATTTTTTTGGCAGATGGTAACTCTACTGTACTATGCTGAAGTGCATTCACTGACCACCTACAGCTACTAGATCATTATTCTGTAGGTTAACCTGATTGTTTGCTACTCGAAATAGCAAGGCTTTAGAGCAGGGGCTGGAGTATTATCATTATTATCATCATGTCTAGATTATTGTAATTCATTGTTCACTTGTCAAAGCAAAAACTCCCCGAATCGTCTGCAGCTGCACTAACTCCCCACTGAATGCAGAATTCATTTTAAGACTGTGGTTCTGACTTTTAGAGCTGTAGATGGACAAGCACCAGCTTACATCAGTGAACTTTTACATTCTTATGTCCCCAGCAGGTCCCTGAGGTCATGTGATCAGGGCCTGCTGGCTGCTTATCATATGAGGCTGAAAAGGACACAGCTTTTTCAACATTGGCTCTCAGACTCTCTGAGAGAGCTACAGAGTCTGAGAGCCTTAGATCTGTGGACTCGGTGATCTCTTTAAAAAACACACACACAGAACAAAACAACTAAAAACTCACATTTTTAAATTTGTTTGGTTAACTTTTTTTTTTTTTTAAATGTTCTGGTATTTTCTTTGTTGATGTTTACTGATGTTTTGATTTGGAAGGGCTAACCTATCTTTTTATATAATATAAAATTTGCTAGGCAGCTATTTGGTTACTTACTGTAAAGATTTGAGAGCAATGTCAGCCATCGTTGTACATAATGAGAGAGCTGTTCCCATGAGCTGGTTCCATGGGGAAGTCAAAGTAAAGTTAATCCTAGTAACTTGCTCAAGGGCACTTTGAAGCACAGTTGTCATGTATGGCTTTCTGTTTTTCATTTGTAAGTCATTTACTTTAAATTTACACCCAATGCAGCTCAGTATAAGTGACTAAGTAGAGGTTTGATCGTCCTGCTCCAGGGCTCACGGATTAAGTTAACGTTCCATCAACAGCTTCGTGCTTTGTAGCACAGCTTCTAATGGAAATATAAACTGTGACCATTTAACAACAAGGTCATCACTCCACAGCCCTGCGTGCTAGCCGTCCGGGTTAATGTGCATTGCTGACTGCAGCGCTTAGCTACGTAGTTATTCTAATGACTTCAAACCTTGTGTTGCAGGGGTCGAGTGTTTGCCCTAGACTTTGGGACGATGCGAGTGTGCGACCTCGAGTTTGACTGCGTCCGACGACTGAGCACCCCCCCCAGCCCTCTACCCCTGCCTGCGATGAACCCAAACCCCACCCCCAGCTGTCACACAGTGTGGAAGTACTACTGCAGAGACAATTTTGGCTGGAGGGAATACTCCGAGGTGAGCCATTCGGTGCATTTATTTGTGTGTGTTCGGGTGCATTCAGGCTCTGCGAACAAGATGCCAGACACATTAGCTTCGCCCACATTAATCAATTGTCCAGTGATGGGGTGGATTTAGAAAAACAGCTCTCATGTACACAAACTACTTGCTTTTGTAACACAGCTTTTTATCCATGTGTGACCTTTTATTTATCGTCTTTGCAATGGCCACATTTGATTTACAGGTAAAATGGAAAAATGCAGAAGTTACCTGCAGAAAATGGTAAACAAATGTGTTTTCCCTCCCTTTCCTTCTGCTCCACAGCCTGTGGTTAAGCTCATAGAGGAGGCGAGTTCGAGAGGTCTTAAGGAGGTGAGGTTCATTACGCTCCAGAACCAGTATATCCTCAACATCAGGGAGGGCTTCCAGCAGAACGCAGTCTTCGGGTTCCGACGTCAGATCAAGAAGCGGCCCATGTTCATGTCCTCCGTGATTCTCACACCACACCTACAGTAAGTAAACATGGCTGATATTAGATCTAACTACAGCTTTGCTTTTGTGGTTAGGAGGTGAGCACTAATAGAGCTAAAGCTGGATCCAGAGGTTGAGGTTTTGGCCATGGTGAAGACATGGCTCGAGTAGATAAACAACAACACAGCTGAGATGTCTCCACTGTGACTTAGTGGATTTGCTCTCAGAGCATCGCTTGCAGTAATGTAAGCAGAGACTCGTTTTTGTGAACGTGTTACTGTATTCATAGGAACTGTATTGTACTCTTCGCGGGCATTAGGCTTAGTTTAGATTGGGCGGAGTGATACACCCAGTATGGTGGCTGTTCTGAACTACCTAATGTGACGGTTGTTGTGATGCAGACTTTAAATAAAGGGCTGCATCTGAGGCCAAAGCTGTTAATCACATAATGACTATTGCCAAGATACACCCAGCCTTATAGTAAGTAATGCCAGAAAACGACTTTTTCCAGAGCTTAGTATTGGTACTAATTAATAGTAGCAGTTCTCGTTTGAAAGGTAGCAGTCATTAACTAGATTAATAGCCTTGCTTTTCTGTTTTTCCCTGCTGGCTTGCCTTTGTACTTTCCAGCAGAGCTGTCTAAATCGTTTAGCACTTAGATCAGAGAACATTTAGTATTTTGCACATGAAGCAACACTGACTTTTAGAACAAAGTTCTGCGTTCAACACAAAAAAAGTCCCTGGCAACATGTGCAAAGTCACTCGCACACAAAGTTGATTCTTGAGTATCTGACACGCCATCTTCTTGTGGCTCTCTGTGTTCTCTGAGCATCCTGAATTTGTAGTTTGGAGACGCTGCAGGCACACAGAGGTCGGTACATGATGTTAATGTCACAGTCAGCGTTGAATACTGAACACTGTATTCACATTTGATCTTTTCTGCTGCACACTGGCAGCCTGAGCTAAACTCAAACCCCATCTTTACCACGGCACAGACTTTTGGCACGTCAAACAGAGTCACTGGGACATGGGGAGATGTCCTGTGCAGAGCGAAGCAGATGGACGGGAAAATGAGATAAAGGAGGCGAACGAGAACAGACGAGTCAAGTCGAGAGACGGGGCAGAGGCAGAAATCAAGGAAAGGGTGAAAAGAAGCAAAACATTAGCGCTCCAGATCCAGCAAACCTTTTCTAATGCGTTTCTTTCCCCTCTTTTCTTTTAAAAAATAAAAAAATTCTTTCTTTAGCTCAGTCAACTTCCTGTCCTTATAGTAGTGAAGTGATCTGGCTCGCAGCACTCGGGTCTTATTTTTGAAACAAGTAATACCAGATTGGAAACAAGTGGAGTCATTTCACCCCATTTGCAGAATCTTTCACTTCCTTTGCCGAGCAGGCTGCTGTAGCGGTGTCCTGCCAGTTTCCCACACAGAGCGAACGCTAGAACGAGCTGTTCCTACCGGGGCCCTGACAGGCAGGGGAAGACAAAATGGAGAGCAGGAGATGGAGGGAGAAAAGGAGAGAAGGAAAAGAGAGAGAGAGAGGGAGAAGGAGGGAGACGCAGAGCACAGCTGAGGAAGTGAATGAGGTCTAAATGGTTTCCAGACTGGGTGCACAGCAGAGTGGAGTTGGTGAGTGAAGGAGTGTGAAATGTTCCTGTGGGGAGCTGGAATTTGGATTGAGTGACTTGTTATGGGACGTTGTCATCCATTTGGTGTGTGTGTGAGCTTCAGTTAATTACTTTATCTGATCACAGTCACACAATGGGCACCAAAAAAAAAAAAAGCTTCTAGCCAGGCGATCCAATAAAATGGGAATTTTATTTGTGTAAAGGAATGGCTGTCAGTCCGTCCAGTGTCCTTTCGAGTGACCTGAAACAGTTTGTTGGCGTGTGTGTGTCTGTGTGTGTGTCTATCAGGAACAATCTGTGCTTGGGCTTGGAGGTTGAGGTCATTAGCTTGATTGGCACTCTCCCCCCTCACTCCCCTCCCCACCGCTCTCCCCCCGCCTTCCTTCTGTCATCTCTTTCTGCTCTGCCGGTGTTATTTTCAGCCATCTCCTCCCCTCTCTCCCTCCCTTGTTATCTGCCCCTAATCTTCCTCCTTTTCTTTTTTTCCTCACTCTTTTCTCTCCCCCAAGTCCATCATTCTCGTGTTATCTGTCCCTTTTCATTTCACACTTGTTTTCTGCAGCAGGCTGTCTGTGATCTCTTCAAAGCACACAGGGAATAGAGACATCGATTTCAGGGAGGAGGGGGGAGAGATCGAGACCGGACAGACAAGATAAGCGAGAGAGAGAGAGAGAAAGGAGATGAGAAAAACTGTCGCACCGACTTAGAGTCACTCTGATCACAGTCTCCTGACAGCGC